TTGCTTTGTTGTTCTTCAGCCGACCGATCTCCTCCTCAATTTCTTGAAGATCAGGGGCCGGTAGCCTGTCGTCTTCTGCGCTCGCTACAAGGTCTGTTGCCGTGCCACCTTCGTTTTCTGCTGCTTCACCGTTGAGGTGCTCGTCATAGTACTGCTTCCACCTCTCAATCACCTCACACTCGCTCGTGAGAAGGTTACCGTCCAAGTCCTTGCACATATCGGCTTGTGGCACGTAGCCTTTGCGCGAACTATTTAGCTTCTCGTAGAACTTCCGTGTGTCGTTTACGCGGTACAGATTTTCCATAGCCTCGCGATCTCGGTCTTCCTGCTGACGCTTCTTCCTTCGGAATACCGAGTTTTGTCTGTTCCGCGCTTGTCTGTATCGTTCCACAATCAATCTCGTGCGGTGTTGTAGCATCTTGCCCGGGCTGCATTCTTTCCAGACAACTAGAATGCACGTATATTCAAAGTTGTTTTCGTGATGTACAAACATATATACAAACAAACAAATCGTATAGAATGCAAAGAAATGGCTTATACGTACAAAAGTGGAGGCCATATACATGCAAATTTTTATTTAATTTTAAATGGGTTGATTTAACATCATATACGATTTAATCTGTAATAACACATTCACTTTGAAAAGTCATACGATGTAATCCGATTTGATTTGTGATACAGTACGACGAAAAAATGAATCATCGCATATTGGTCGGAAATTTGCATTCTATACGATTTAACTTAAACATAATGCGATGCATGCCGTTCTTATATGCAATGTTGACTTCAACTGTAGCAATTTACGATACTGTCTGCACATTTTTATACGACTTCTGGTTGCCTGGGTTCTCCTCTACTAACAATTTGCATTAGCCGTCAAACCAGTCATTTCTTCGGTCCGGGATTGCAGTACCTAGTGCCTCTTCAGCAGTACTACCTATGGCGGAACGGATGTCCCTCCAGCCATCATCAAGAGACGCTGCGCCTGGCTGCTCTTCCGTGGGTAGTGCAACTTCCAGCTGCTGCGCGTAGTCCTGGGCAACTCTGGCGTCCCGTAGTTGCTCAATGTTGGGTCGCGGCGTTCGACTTCGACGTGTGTTATGCACCGTCGAGAGTTTTGAGCGCATGCATACTGCAACTAGGTAGTGGTTCGAATCTATGTTCGCACTGCGGTACGTGCGGACGTTGATAATGTCGGAAAAGAATTTCCCGTCGATTAGAACGTGATCGATTTGGTTTTCTGTGTGTTGGTCAGGTGATCTCCAGGTGGCTTTGTGGATATCCTTGCGGGGGAAAAGGTACTTCACGGATCGTTGGCCGTTGTCGTTCGATACGGCATGCAGGCTGGTTGGCCCGATTGCCGGTCTATACATTGCCTCCCGTCCTACCTGAGCGTTCATGTCAATTTTGACGTCCCGTTGTGAACAGCATTCGTACACCTGCTCCAGCTGCGCATAGAACGCTTCTTTCTCGTCGTCGGATCTCCTTTCGTGTGGGCAGTGCACGTTGATGATGCTGTAGTTGACGAAACGGCCCTTAATCCTCAACTTGCACATCCTTTGATTGGCCACAGATGGTGTGAAGGTGATGCTCGAGTTTGGTTCTCTAACAGAGACTACCTGCATCAAACTTGCCACAACGATGGCCTTCATTTGGCTGTTTCCGACGTCCAATTCTGATCTTAGACTCTGAATCCTATACCTGCCGTGTACCCCAAGTCAAATCGATCTTGTTTCATAGCAGGCCTATAGTGAAGCTTTTTAAGCTTTCTTCTTTGAAAAATGGACTTCTTCAAGCAATAATTTCGAAAGCTCATGGAAAGGAATTGGAACTTTTATTGGATGCAAAGACTAGATGGAACAGTTTGAAAACTATGTTTTAAAGGCTTTCGCTAGTACACTCATGTGTCGTAGAAACTCTCAGTGAGCTAAATCTCAAGCGACTTTCGGTCAAAGAGGATGACGTAGAAGCAGTACAATCATTGTTAGATTGCTTGCAGCCTGTTCGTCTCGCTTCTGAAGCTTTACCAAGCCGTAGCGCTGAACTCCTCCAAGTAACCCTACATTTGCTCATCAGTATCGGAAAACTGCTTCGTTATCTACAGAACAAGGATTGTACCGGAACAAATGAACTTCCACTGGCCTCTCGAACTCATATTCTGAAAATGGAAAAATCGGTAGCATCAAGAGTAGTCGACTTGACAAGTGATGAGAATAACCTATCTTCATCGAATCATCCCGTTCCGGAGACATCTTTCCAACGGACAGAAGAAGTGCACACAGAGCCAAAAGTTAAGGTTGATTTACATGGCGAAAAACTTACTCAGTGCATTCATGAGCAAACTTCAAAACGCATCATACCTTCTTCTTCTTCGCAGTTCAAGCTTATTGCATATCGCATATTTAGCTTATTGCGTGCTCTCAACTTAGTGTTCTAGATGCACTTCCACAGTTATTAATTCAGAGCTTTCGATGCCTGTACCATTTTTGCATTGGTATAATTGTGTGGCAAGTCCAATCATACTTCTATGTCCAGGGAAGACGAGAAATTTTCCAACCCGAAAAATTCCTAGACCGGACCGGGAATTGAACCCAGCCACCTCCAGCATGGTCTTGCATTGTAGCTGCGCCTTCACCAACTGAGCTAAGGGAGGCCCCAGGGAGGTACGCATCGTACCTACCCAAGTAATAATTTTGGTTTTATGAGGGTTCTGTAGACCATGATTTAGACTTGTAGCATGTTTTAAAAACTCGATTAAACTTGCAATGTTACGTGGGTAGTTCAAGTAACACTGATATTGCCAAAACAATCCAAAAATAATTTGCATTGTATGAGTTACATGGACAACGCACAAGGTTATTTTTAAATGTGCGGGAGCTCGGTCGGAGTGATGTCAAATAAGGAAAACTATACTGTTGGTAATGTGTGACGTATGTTATTGAATCTTGCTGGGAAAAGACATCAGGATCTATCACAGGTCAGTATTCTATAAAATCATAATTTAATATGTTTAGAAAAATATGGGGCACGATTGATCCAGTTTGAAGAACATTACTGACCTGCTTTCATGTACGTATTTTCATTTGAATAGCTTCTTTTACCACACCCAACCGGGGGATGTAAGATTCGCATACTATTATGTGTGATTCAAAAAACCATGACATCGCCTCCAAGGTCAACTTCTAACATTCGCTGCGATGTTCATGAACAGACGATGATAGGAAATGGAACTAACATTCATTGTAATAAATTTTTGGGTTGCGTGCAGGGCTTAAACAATCATCGCGTCGGTCGTAGTTTGTTGTGAGGCAAGGGGCATGATAGTCTGAAAATGTAGTGGTTTTATGACTTCTGTTCCTGTCTTACGTAAGGACCAAATCAAACAAATGAACGTCGCGTAAAAGTAGAATTTAATGAAGGCCTAAGCGCATTTTCCTACACCCAACCAAGGGATGTAAGATTCGCTTACAATTATGTGGGATTCATCATCAGAGGATGTTAGTGGAGACTGCATGAACTGAGGATGCGATATACCTAGCTGCGGTTCAATGCAAGAAATGGAGAAAGAAAAATGTGGAGTGTATTAGTTAGTGAACTTATTCATGTCGAAAAAAAAAGTGCCGGCTAGGGGGGACTCAAACTACGAACGTTGCGATTAACAGGTCTATGCTTTCTCCACTGCTCTCTCCATGCTTCGGAATATGGATAGGCTAAAAGCAAACAAGAAGCGCAACTTCGTTTGCTTTTTCTGCTGGAGAGAATCGAGGCAAGTGTGTGCGTCGTTCTACCATGTTATACATAACAATCAAGGCAAATGCTTGCTTGTGTAGACGAAAGCATAAACAGAACACGGAATAAAAAAAGATTAAAAATCATTACATCGTCTGCAAGGTCAACTTCTAACATTCGCTGCGATGTTCATGAACAGATGATGATAGGAAATGGAACTAACATTCATTGTAATAAATTTTTGGTTTGCGTGTAGCTTAGTTACTTATTCTGGTGTAGAGGGTACCGCCGTCAAGTTTTAATACATCAACTTGTACACTTGGTGTGTTTTGGTATGAAGGACTCGGCTGCCTTAGACAACCGTTTTTGCTAACTGAGTATGAAAAAAGTGGAATCAATCCCAGGTCCTTTCACATTAAGGATAGATTTATTGTTTTGCGAAACTTGTCATCGCCGTCGTCGTCACCGTATTTAGCGGGTTTGAAAACTCGATCATAGATTGTATACGATTCTCCGAAAGTGTCTGCCAACATCCTCTAAATTTTCTCTCTTTTCTTCTTTCTATTTCTCCGGAAGAATTTTTCCGACTTCTTCGGAAGTTTTTTCTAACATCTTCAAAAAAATTATATCTGCCTCCACAGCAAATTTATTTTAATTTACTGATAGTTTTACCCAGAGTAAACTTTCCTGATCATTGTGGGCCATCTTTAGTGAAAATGTAAATCTAGCATGCATTTTTATCAGTTTCCCAGGAAATTGATCGTGATTTTTTGAGAAATTGGTGGAAATGTATATATAATATGGATCTTGCCGATAGAATTTTAAAATATATCACCAGAACACATGTGAAATATATTTCTTTTAAATTGTTTGATAAGGTTACCCTAATCATAACTGGAATGGCCTGTAATGCCATGTTCAGATGTGGGAGTTGTAACGTGCTATAAGCGGTTTTCGTCATATAAGAACAATTGTGATACATGCTTGTATCACAAAAACCGCTCATAGCACGTTACAACCCCCTAGTCTGAAAGTGGCATAACACAAAAGTATTCTGTTCAATGTTCTTATGAAAACGCTAATCAATTATCTTCGCTTGAATAATGGAAACAGTAAACAAAAGGTGGCATATTACTGTTTCCATTAGTCAACGACTATGAATAAGATGCATTTGTGTATGGTAGCATTCCTTGTTAAGGGGTGTGAATATGAGCATTTGTAATCTGAACATCACCATTTTTCAGCATCCCTACAAGACTTCATAATTTCAGGCAAAAGTTTTACCCTCACCATAATGATATCCACGAGTCCTCCCCAAGTTGCCACCTACAACAAAGCCATCAAGGTGACCGTCGATGGACCACGAGAACCCCGGTCGAAAACAAGTAAGTCAGAAACCCGAACATATATTATACACACTCTCAAATCAATTAGACATCCCACATGCATCCCAAAGGATCCCAACCCGGCTACCTGCTATGCCTCCCATGTTGACGTATGAATTATAACACTTCACCGTAATCAAACCTCACTCAACTCAGACACCAAGGCGACTTATGCATGTAATTGGGGACTCCGTCGGCCATCGGTGCTCCCGAACAAAAAGCTGTTGATTATTTAATTTAATTTCATATCCGGCTGGACGGCCTACCTTTGGTTCGTTGTTCGCCCGGCAGCATACTAAATCATCGAAAGCGAAATCCTTTAACTCGTTTTCTCTCTAGTTCCATGCCATGAAAAAGTCAGCATATTTAAAATTTTAATTTTGAAAATTACCCCTGGGAATATACTTTTGAAATTTCCTTGTTAAGTAGAACGATATCGTGATTGTTGAATTTCAAACATAATGCTTATGCATAGCTCTGTAGCGCAAACAGTCCCAATGTCATCATCGATCAGGGAACTCCTCTTCTTTGGGAAAATAACTACTTGCGTTACTAATTTGAAAATGGTTAAACATTAAAGCTCTCGATCAATACACGGCAGTTGCAGATGAATTGTTCTTCAAGTTGTCAAAAACATTGTCACGTCCTCACTCTCCAAAACAAAAGGACAAATTAATTTTCAAGAGACGCATCCAAAACAGAACGAGACACACATATGCTCGTGTCTGTAGGAAAAAGCGACTAGTGAAACTGTAAGGATGCTGAAAACCACAGAAAAACTTTTCCCTCTTGTACATGCGACAGCTGTGATGGTCACATGGACGGATTTCAGAAAATGGAACTTTCCTTTCGACGCTGCGACGTGGCTTGATTTATGAACAAGAGATGTACGCATGAGCTTATTTTGGATTAACAAGGTTTTTAACTTTAAGCTAGCAATGCTAGTGAAATTTTTTAATTGGAATAGTTCGGACAGCATCAATTTGAGTTGGAATTCAAGGAACTCACACCAGTGATGCAAATTCTCAAATTATATTGGGTGCCATATCATACAGTATCGCTCAAGCCATACATCGCTTTGATAATTTGATTCACCGAAATTCCATTGCAACTGCACACCCGGAACCCAAGCACTCCAGTTCGTGCCATTTATATAGTTCAAATCAGCCTAAACCCATTTCCACAACCACAGTTATGCCGTATTGTCCGTGCGCCAAACAGACAACATTGTCCTACTAAATCTGATTATCATTCACACTTGGCGCCAGACTCGAAGCATCACTCGTCGGACTCTGTCAAACAGATATCACATTCCACCTATCAGACAGCACCACATAATATGGTCACACTTTAAAATCGCACCCTGTTCTGCTGTTTGTCACCGGCTGATACAATGAGCCGACACTAGCCCTCATATTCGAAATACCTATCATTACTCTTTCAAGCATCCATCATTTTATTTGGAATTTCCAATTTATCATCACCATCATGACTAAAATCATCATCATCATCATCAGTAAAACCACCACTCCTATCCTCTTTGCTAATTCCTAATACGGGATAGTTCCGTACCACACTACCGCCGTTCAGCGGCATCCACGAATTAGCCACTTCAACTAACATATAGTGTTATCACCGCTTCTTCTAGGGCAACAGCAGCAGTTCCACTTTGCCTTCGGTCAGCGCCCGTTCCACTTTCCAGCGGATCCACTGTCCAGCTTCCGGATGCCGCCAATAGGTGAGTACTTAAATTATGTTACTCCCGTACCTGTTCTACTGGACATGCGCAACTCGCAGTAACATTGCTACTTTTCAAGCGGCGCCGGTGGTGTAGTGGTAAGCGTGATTACCTCTCACCCCAGCAGGCCTGGGTTCAATCCCAGTCGGCGCCGCCGGGATGTTCTGAGGCATAACATCTCTGATCACGCCTTCCTTCGGAAGGGAAGTAAAGCCGTTGGTCCCCGGTTCATGAGTTGATGGATCGATAGGTAGGGTCCAGGTGTGGGAGCTGCCTTCCTGGAGTCGGTAGCATTGGTGCTCAGCACGGAAAACAAGATCGACGGAAAACAAACCAAGGAAAAAAAAAAAAAATTGCTACTTTTCGCCATCAAATCTATCAGGTGTCAGACCACCAGTAATGGTTGAACTAGCTTTACAGTACAGGTCAGACTCGATTATCCGGACACTTCGGACCATCTAATCGCCCGGATTATCGAGCAATTTTTTTTCCGTTGCCAACTATAGATCAAAATTAATTGCACTGGGTTCATGTGCCCAATTTGAACATGTTAAAATTGTGATATTCCTTTTCCCCGATGATCCATTAACTGGAAAACAACTTTTGATCTTGAGGGGATCCTTGAGCACTAGGGTGGGTCAACCTAACAACACCATGCCTCAGATAACTGTGCAAAATTTGATCGAATTTGGGTAAGATCTGGATTTGTGGTAGAGCTCTAAAGTTAGAATGGGAAAATGCATGGAAAATAAAACATAAAATAGATTGATGATACTAAGTGTAACAATTTTGTTGAAAACTGCAAGTGATTCGACTTCTAGACAAAAAGTTATTATTATTTTATTTTAGGCCATTTTCTCCGCACATACATACAAGCTTATATATACGCCTGTAGGTATGCGCGGAACACTTGTCCTAAATCAAAATATTAATATATTTTTGTCCGGGAGCCAAATCGATTTGAGATCTTAGACTTCTGCCCATTGGCGTAGCTAGAAAATTTATCTAGAGGAGGCCTGTAGCATTTTATTTTACTTTGTAAAACTACTGTTCAATAAAATCTAGCAAAGATGCTATTCAATCAAATTGCGTCAAGGCAACTTGTTTTTGGGTACATTGTTTTTGCGACCAATAATATGACACTAAAGCTTACTTTTATTTTAATGATAAAACAATAAATTTGATTATATTAATTTCATAACAACGATTGGGACCTTGATTAGGCGAGCCTAAAAAGCTTACTGATTTTGAACAAGCAATGATCGTTTGTTCATGCTTTTTATAGTGACATCACATAGCGTCCGGATCTCATAAATTTAAGCATCTCAAGCTTAAAAAAATTCACAGAGTTAGGTGAATTGAATGAATTTTGTAACTGGCTTTTTTATTTTGAATTTTATTAGTTACATCTCTGACATGGGCACCACAGTTAAATTCTAGGAGTTTGATTTTTATATTTTTCTAAAATTCTAGATTTTAAACATGGTAAAGTGTACACAGAATAAATTTCTACGAAGCTCCCTGAATTTATTCCAAATTATCTCTTAATTTTACGATTGCACTTCTGGAAAAACACTCTTGAACATTTCGAAAGTTGGAATTTAACGAAGCACCCAAAACCTACAAGAAGTTCAAGAAGAGCTGTTTGAAGTAAGATCTCTGACAAACTGCAACGAAGTTCCCTAAACTGAAGCTTTTATAAGTTTATTGAACTTTTATAAGGTCTTATTTATAAGTTTATTGAACTATTTTTAGATCTTCTACAAATATCCCCAACTTTTTTCAAATTTCCTTAAACTTGTATGAAGTTCTACGCAGGTCTTCAAAATGCTACGAAATTTTCAAAACTTCTATACAGTTTAGCGCACTTCTACGTTTCGCGATGATTGTCCGCAAACTTTCACGAACAAAATTTCTTGAATTTGTACGTAACTTCCACAACTATTCCAAGATCCTTGAAAATAAATAGAGGTTCCCGACCCTCCTGTAACTTCTACTATTATTCCACTTTTATGCAGTTTTCAGAAATTTTCCATGTTCTTTTTTATGAATTTTTCTGAAGATCTATGAAGTTCCCATAATTTCTACTAAGTTTCCTCAATTTCAACGATGTTGCCTAAACTTTTTAGAAGCCCTTGAAGTTTAACGAAGTTCCCAGAAGTTTAAGAAAAATCTCTGGGATCATGGTCAATTTTTAGAGCCTAAAGACGTCTTATTATGCCATCGATTGAATATCGATATCATATAATTTCCTAAAATTAATTCTTCTAATCCAGAACAAAAGAAAAGTAGTCAACATGTCAACATTAAAAAAAAATGTGTTTTCAAATTTTATTAATCGCTGTTAAATAATAACGTCAAAGTTGACAAGCTTGACAAAATACCGGTGAGTCAAAAAGAAAACACCAAAAATTCTGGGGGAGGGGGCTAAATAATTCTGGAGGGGGCCTTTCCCCCTTGGCACCCCCATTAGCTACGCCAATGCTTTTGCTTAGTATTACTAATCTAAGTTCAAGTTTTTTTTGACGTAGGATTACGTCTTTCGGCAACATATTGGGGGTGCAATTTCAAAAGAACCAAAATCGACCGCAGGACGAAAATAGGTCAGGTTTTGACCACATATAACTCTGTCAATAGCAGATGAATTTTAATTCTAAACAAGCCAAATTATTGGGAGTTTATCGATCAATTTCCTAAATTGAACACTTGATTAATTTCCTATAGGTCACTATTGAAAAATACACAAATGTCAAACTGTTGCAATGGTGATCAAAATTATCACTGATTATCTGCAAACAGCGCATTCCCTAACACAGATTTAAAAATCGAATTCGATCCTGTCTCACTGAACGATGCTCATTCAATCACCGTGTGTGGAGGTGTCCGGTCGTCAACGTCAGCAGCAGCAGCATCAGCAGAAGCAGTGCTTTCATCGTGTGGCGTTAACATTGTTCTCCAGTACACCATAAGCAGTGAGCTGCAGAGCCCACATAAGCACCCATAGAAGGATCGAAATCAGTTTCCTCATGAGTAGCTGTGGGTCATCTATGCCAATCGTGCCAACCTTGCTCCAAACAATTAACAGCTCACCAGCCTCACCCCAATAGCTCAGCACAGTACTCAGCCATCACGACTAAACGGTCCTTTTCAGGACCACTACAAATTTGCTAAAGAGTATGTTTTGGATATTATAAAGGTCATCAATCGGATGTCAGTTCCCGCAAGCAACTAACTATCAAAGCTCAACCTGGTCTATAGAAGATGTGGAATTGTAGGCCTGAATGTATTGGTGCAATTCGTTTTGACGTAAGATTACGTCTTTCGGCAACATATTGGGGGTGCAATTTCAAAAAAAAACCTAAATCGACCCCAGGACAAAAATAGGTTAGGTTTTAACCACATATAACTCTGTCAATAGCAGATGGATTTTAATTCCAAAAAAGCCAAATTATTGGGAATTTATCTGGCAAATTGCTTAAATAAACACTTTATTTATTTTCAATAAGTCACTATTGAAAAATACACAATGTCCAACTGTTGCAATGGTGATGAAAATTATGACCGATTACCTGCAAACAGCGCATTCCCTAACACAGATTTAAAAATCGAATTCGATCCTGTCTCACTAAACGGTGCTCATTTAATCACCGTGTGTGGTAGTGTCCGCAGCATCAGTAGCAGCAGTGCTTTCGGCGTGTGGCGTTGAACATCGTTATCCAGTACACCACGAAAGACATCCTGAAAGCAGCGAGCATCCATAGAAGGAAGAAGAAGCTGCACCGCGATCGAAATCAGTTTCCTCGTGAGTAGCTGTGGGTCATCAATGCCTAGCGCGTCAACCTTGCTCCAAACAATTAACAGATTGCCAACCTCATCCGTGTTGAACACCCTAATAGCTCAGCATTACTCAACCATCACGACTAAACGGTCCTTTTTAGGACCACCACAAATTTGTTAAAGAGTATTATTTGGACATTTGTCCCTAACGACACAAGCTGAAGCCACACAATCATTCAACGTTGCACGTTGGACGGTTCGATCTCGGACCTGTTCGCTGCAGCGTGGACTTCGTAGCATTCCTAACAGCTCAATACATGCACATCACACCTATGAAAAGGTTGGAGGGTGGTGTAAAAGACACGACCACCTTGTTGACGTAGGACTACGACATTTTTGATCGATTTCTGTCTCTTTCTTCCTCATCAGTTCTTACGTGAGAAGTGTAAGTGACGTCAACGATGTGGTCACGTATGAATGGTAAGGAGTAAAAAGATGCGTGATTTCACATGCCGGACCTTTGTAGATCAAGGGACATCTTCGATAGGTCAAAATTGCATCCAATTATTTAATAAGATATGGCAGAAGATGTAATTGAAGGCTGCATATTAGACCAAGGTTAGGGACATGTACCCTATGATTTAGCATTCTTATAACCAAAAGAATCTTATAGGGGAAATGGCTCTAATGTTGGCCTTTGGATCTAAGATTGGGCCCATCGCTAAAAATATGCTACTTATCAATTTATCTAGATGAACGCGTCATTTTGATGGTACTAATGGCTATTTTTGGACGCTATTGAAAATTTAGTCAATTGCTGAATTTATGTATGGGATTAAATTAGGGGCATTTAGGCCGACATTACATCCATTTCCCCTATAAGCAAAATTGTGATCACAACACGATTCTAAAATCAGGTAATTTTTCAGCCAATTTGGAATCTTAATCCAAAATAGCTATGAAGGCGACCTTAAAAAAAAATAAATAATTTTTGACGTAGGAATTCGTCTGTGATTGCTATTCACTTAGAGAAAATCGAAAATGGAACATGTAACAAAATTATGAAAGATTTTGAACATTGATAACTCAGCTGCCCCTGGACCAATTTCAATTACTTTATCACCAATTGACAGAAATATTTCTACACATCAACGGCAATGCTTCGGACTGATGATTTTCAACAATAAACTATCGAAAAAGTTGTTATGTCAAGCATTGTCCTA